GTCTCCGACTTCTACCCAGCGAATTTTACCAAAACACGCTCTCTCTAGCGTTTCACGGCCGATTACCGTTCGATTTCGACGCGGTTCCTCGGTCGTTTCGTGGCCGCGTTAAAGAGGATTAAAGATTCATCGACCCAAGTGGCGTGCTATAGTTCTACGCGGTAACGTAATCATTCCGTGGCGGCTTATTTTATCGCGTCAGATTACTCTCACGCTCCGTACGCAAGATCCGTCATAGCTTCTTATTTGCAACTGAAAATCACCGTCGTGGACGTTCGATACTTTCGTCTGCTTTTACGTTTATACTTTTTGGTGTTGCAACTCTTTGCGTCATTGGCAGGAATACGTAGATTTTCAAGAAAGATCCATGTTGAGATATGTATAATTTTCTGTGCTGGACTAGGTTAAACGCGTAGTAGAGATACTTGTATGTGAATATCGGTGTGTGGAAATATGTGTGTCCGCAGTGTATCGAAAACAAAGGAATGTAAACTCTAGAGTCGGTTAAGAGTCGGTTAACAGACGAGTATAGAAGAAAGTGCCGAGACGCGTGCAAATGTGTATCGATGAATATATAAGGAATCGTTCATGAAATAAATATTTCATTATTTTAATATTAATCCTCGGTATAAATTTAGTGTTCCTATAACATTATGTCGGCTTCAAAGATCCACAATTTTCAACAATCCAAGTTTAACGTTAAACGGTTTAACGTAAGCTTCGAGAGCAGAACCAAGCGTGAAGTCACACGCGAAAGCTTTCGTACATACGTCCTACAAAAAGACCATTTTTATTTAAATTAATGCAACGCCGTATAGTAAGATTTTATTTCTGAAAATATAATAGGAAACGTAGTACGGCTTACTTGTGCTTGGTAATTATATGTATATCGGTCGCAAAGATGTCAACGCGTAGTTGCACGAAATTTTTATCAAAGTTGCAGCAATCTTTTTCATCAAATTTTGCGCACATTTTGCACGATCGTTCGCTCGAGCAATTCTTAGCGAGATATCGTCGAGTCGGTCGCTCGATTGGACGCTATGTTTGCACAAGATCGCATCGGTACGCTACGAGGGTGGCGAAAAGAAAAGCGACGTGGCACGGTGAAGTGTGAAAAAGAGAAAAACGAAACACACTCGGAGGACCAGCTCCGAATCGAGTGTCACTTGTCTTCGACGCATCGAACATCCCCCTGGGCGCTCGTCGAGTGCGTTCACCAAGGGGGAGAAGCGGTCAAATCGATACAGTGTTTTGTTTTAAGTGACGTTAAAAGGATCGGACGAGACAAAATACACACACACGAGGGGTGAACCACCCCCATCGTCCAACCGCTCGTGTCGCAATTTTTTTGACACGTTCTTTCCTTCTTATCGATGAGCCATTGTCCTTCCATATATTATATCTTTTAGATTTTTAGACACATATATTTATATGCGTACGTCTAAAAGTCTCACTGATTTTCCCTGCTTCCGACGTTTTCCACATTTCTATCGGCGCGATTCACCGCCGGTGCGCCAGGTTGAATCGCAGAAAAATTTCAACAAGTTCGCCGAACGGTTAAAACGTCCATAAGAGTAAATCTCCGACATTTGTATCGCGGCCAGGGGCTTTGTTTAATAAAACCGCGCAACGAAACATCGATGATTTGATTGCGTACGGTCAGGTTGGGGCGGTTTTTTCGCGCGTTGCGCACGTCCACTGGCACACCGAATCGAAAAGAACCACGGGACATTAAGTATGAATGAACTCGTCCATATAAAATATGCAGGCACGCGTGGAACGCGAAATCCCGCGCAATTTACCCGGTCGGTACGCTGCCGTCCTCTCTTTTGTATCGGCATCAACTCGTATAATACCATTGATAATTTTTTCAATTTATAAAACGTTACACACAAAATACAGAGAGAGACAGAAAGAGAGAGAGAGAGCGAGAGAGAGAATGAGAGACGGGGTAACGCGTTGCCTTCGGTGGTTCGACGGGGGCGGTCGATCAAAGCACCGTGGCATTGTGACGAGAAACACGAATTCCTGGTCTGGAAACGAGTGTTTTAACAACTCCCTCCCTCGCGGACCCCCCGTTGCCCGGACCCGGGCTCTCTCAAAATCTATTTTCATCGTCGGACAGATGTAACTTCGCTCTCTCGCTGGCAGCGACGCGTGCATCGATCGTCAGATGTCTCTCCCGTGAGCCCTCTCCGAGCCCCTCGTTCTCTCTCTTCAATCTGCAGTCAATTGTTTCCAGCTAAACTGTTTGCCTTTCAGTCGGCACCCTTTTGCCGCACGGCACCGTCTATTTGCTCCGTTTAATGTGGCGCGCTTTCGAGACTCGCCCGAATTTTCCAACGACGGAGCAACAGAGATGGATTCGGCGAGGGAGAGAGGCTGTCGTCGAGTTCCATCGAGGGGGTGAACAGTCGAACGCAAGAAACTTTTCGCCAGGGAACGCGAAAGGAGGCTCGTGTAGCGAATTTCACCGGTGTTTCCGTGGAATCGTGTGAAAAAATCTCTACGCACAGTACACGCGGGCGAATCGAACGAATCTTGAGATACTGGAACGACGGAATAAAGTCATGGATAAGGGAAGAGAACGAAAGTTTTGTTTCGTACGAACCAGTTAATGCCGGGTTTCAAGCGGTGGAATTTGCAGCCGAGTTCCTATTATGAGAAATACGACCGAATGTAGTTTCAATTATGAGGAACGCGAGAGTCCTTTTAAACGGATATAATAGGCGATCGTTTGATACAGAGACGACGTAATAACGATCGTAGTAACGAAAGTGTATAGAAGTTCTCGATTTCGGTCTCCTTCAACGAACGCTCCTATTTATCAAAAGTAGTAACAGGTAGAGATCTTATCGTGTACGCTATCGCGATCGATGTTACGTATTCGTCGGCGAATCGGTATCGAGTTTTGATCTTCAACTTTGAACGAAGAAAGATTCTGACGAAATTCGGATACACAGGTCTTCCTTCAAGCTCAGAAACTCCCCTGATCTCTGGTTTTCTTCGGAAGTAAAATTACCGTTGAAGCGTAGAATATATATCAAATCATATATGAGACAAAGAAGAAGTTGAAAAGTAGGAACGTTGAGGTAAATGTAGAAAATGCGAAGGATATTCTTAAGAACGTTAAAAGGTCGTTACCCTCCACGCGTAATTTCTTTTCGACGTTAAATAGTTGGATACTCTGCTACCGTCTCTCGTATTTCTACCAAGAAGCTCTATTCTGGTCACAAAGTATTTCCATTAAAACGCACGGAAATTCAGCGTAAAATCACTCTTTTATACGGAACAGGGTATAAAGACTCGATAACTTCGAAGCAACCACGGTTTCGTTCCTTTTTCCCTTGTTTTTGAGGGTTCAACCGCGTTTACGACGCGTATAGAGCGTATAAAGCTGCAGACTGGTTTCACCGGTGTTTGTTATTCATTAGTTTTTTAACGTCTGCAGGGGAACCGGCCGCGTAATTACGCCTATAAGTTCCACGTCTTGTACTCTAGCTGGGGCACGATGAAATTAAGACGGTACCGCGATAGGTTTTCAATTCGAAAACAATTAATCACCACCGCCTCCCGCGCGTCCGTGCCTTATATCCAGTAACGGCTTAATTATAAAACAATCACGCTCAAGCTGGGGCACCGGGTACACGTAAAAGGCGATCGAGACGCGAACGAGCCTCTCGCTGGAATATGTGCTAAATCATCTGCTGGTCGTTTGTTGGCAGGTACAGGGGCCGCCTCCTGGTGTAACTATCAGCCGTGGGGCCAAGAAACGAGAGACGATGCCTTCGATACTTCGACGATATAATCCGCTCTCGTTTTCCTTCGATCCATCTTCGACGAATCGGTGAAACGACTGGAACAGCCTTCTACCTCGTCGTCAAGTTCGCAAGAATTAGATCGGTAAGCGAACGTGGATGAAAATTCTATTTCGTTCTTCTGTGAATTTTACTTTTGTATATTTCGTCGCTCTCTTCTTTTTTTCGATCAAAAGTTTAGCTAAAAATTACGGAAGAGTACGACGAATTGAATCGTTCGTGTATTTTTCCTCAATTTCTATCGGACCTTTGCTTGGAAAATAAAATTTCCACTCCTATCTTAGAAAATTCTTACAACTCGGAAGTTGATTCAAATTTCTCACAAAGGTTTCCATCGAACCTCGAAAACTACCTTTGAAACGTTCTTGCGTGTAATGCGCCTACGCCGGATCGATATTTTCCTACTGTTGCTACTGTCGCTTTACTTCTACGAGATTCGTAAACTACGCGTTGTTGCGAGCACTATCGTTGCGATCTTCCTACGACGTTCGACGCGATATATACGAATTTCCACGATAGAAAGTCGGTTCGTTCCTAGTACCAAAGTTTCACAAAAGAGAAATCGATCGTCCTCGAGAGATCATAGACCACCGGTTCCAGCAGAGTTAAATTACAAATCCTCGAGTCAAGCGTATCCACCATGTTCCAGCTATCCTGACAAAAGCGAATAACCCTGGCCGGACCCACGCATCGATCCACGTAAATCAATCTTCGCGAGCCACTCTACAGCGCGACGTTTCCAAAAATTCCCGATCCTCCTATACGGTTCGTCGATCTATCCGATCTTTCCTTCGGTAACCAAAGTCGCCGGCCCTTTATGTACGCGTCGCACCACTGATCCCAAGCAGGAAGGTGGACACACGACGAAATACTATTCGATGGAAAGTTCTAAAAAAGCGCTGCCGACGATCCTGTGGATGGGTCTTCCCGAGGTGGGCCCTGGTAATCAAGATGATCGATATCTTATACAGTCCCTGCTCATACTCTGCCTCTTCTCTTCTCCGATCTTCTTCTTATTCTTCTTCTTCGTCGTCTTCTTCTCGTCTTCATTCATGCTCAAGGAATTCCTTCTGTTTACGAGTTCCTGAAGATCGCGGACCCCCCTGGCCGCTAACCGTCTCGTGGTCAGATTGTCAGCCGCTTAATTAACCGTGAAACGAGCGAGGGGTAGTCGGACACCATAGACGAGACCGCACGATGGCAGGATATTCGATACACCCCCGAACTCTCTCTCGCTGGAACGGCAACGCGTGGAAAGAGGAAAAAGAGATTGGAATCGAGAGAGAGAGAGAGAGAGGGGGGGGAGTAACGATGGAAGGAGGAGAGTGGATGAGGTTCGCCTCTCTATACAAGGTAGTCCTTGAAGAGCAACGTAGGTAGGTTGCTCGAACCAGGTAACCGGACACCCTGATCACGGACCGCTGGAACTCTATATCACAGGTGGTAGTGGCTGCGTACGAAGGTCCTCTGACTGTCAAAGAGATGCTCTTTTTTTATTCCTTTCTAAGAAGCACTTTCCTCTCTTCTGGATTCGTTACGGTAATCGAGTGTATCAGGAAACTTGCAATAAGGATCGAACGATGATGCGTGTTCGTTAGTTTCCATTCGAGTTATCAAATTTGACGCGATGATCTACCGGTGATGTTTTTCATTTTCATGGAGATCATTCGTGCGAAATCAACGCGACAGCGAGAAATCAATTAAAGAAACGTAGATAAATTTGCAACGCATTCTGAGATACGAGAGCCCTGCCATAATTTACGAGTAAGTAGCGTTTTATCGCGACGATTCGAGGAAAGAATCGACACAAGAGAAAACTAAGGATTTGCGCAGTCCATCGCGCGTCCTCGTTTTCCTACGACTAAACATCCCAACGAAAATTTTTGCCTCTCTGTCAAAGTTCTATCGGTATCGATTATAATTTTCTGGCATAGTACGGAACGCGTTAAGGCTCTACGATGATCCCGACTTCGCAAGTAGCAAGTTTCCTAGTTGGCGACCCGACTCCGTAACCCACCACTGCCGGTGACGTTAATTGATTCGTAGCTCGATCGATTAGCGTAATACCGGCCCCCGACTTGATTCGCGCTCGTCACGTTTACCAAGCGACGAAACACACGGCTTGCGAAACTCTGGACGAAATCAAACAGGAACCCTCGGGGGAGTAGGCAGAGATTTTGCAAACGACCTTGGCTGTCTCGTATCGAAGCAGGATATCGTTAATTATCCGACGAGCGCGTTATTGCAGCACGCGTGTAATGAACAGTGTCAGGTGATCGAAGCTCGTTTCAGTGGATCGGTTGGCAGCGTTGAGGCC